TGGTTAGATAGATTTGTTATAGTGTACCTAGATGACATTCTAGTGTTTAGTAAGACCCTCGACGAGCATCAGGGTCATCTCAGGCAGGTCTTGGAAAAGCTGAGGGAAGCTAACTTCAAGATCAATGCAAAGAAGTGCGATTGGGCGAAGACCCAAGTTTTGTATTTAGGCCACGTCTTAGACGGAGACGGCATTAAGCCTGAAGACAGTAAAATTGCAGCGATTAGAGATTGGCCAACGCCGCGTACGTTGACAGAGTTGCGGTCGTTTTTAGGCCTAGCTAACTATTATAGAAGTTCGTGAGGAACTTCTCCACCATCGCTGCGTCCCTTCGCAGATTGCTAAGAAAAGAGACAATCTGGAAGTGGGACAAGGACTGCACGTCTGCCATGAAGAAGCTAAAGCAGGCGTTGATAGAGTACCCGGTCCTTAAGGTCGCCGATCCGTCCTTGCCTTTTGTCGTTACTACGAATGCTAGCCAGTACGGCATAGGCGCAGTGTTGCAGCAAGACGATGACAATGGGTATAGACCCGTAGAGTTCATGTCCGCCAGAATGCCTTCAGAGAAGGTCGCGACATCTACCTACGAGAGGGAACTCTACGCTCTCAGGCAAGCGTTAGACCACTGGAAGCACTACTTGCTTGGGAGGCACTTCAAAGTCTATTCTGACCATGAAACGTTACGATGGTTAAAGACGCAGGCCAAGATGACACCTAAGCTTACTAGGTGGGTCGTAGAGATAGATCAGTACGACTTTGAGCTCAAGCCTGTCAAAGGGAAGTACAACGTAGTCGCGGATGCTCTGAGTAGGAGGGCAGATTACTTCGGGGCGATAGTGCATTACCTCGATATAGGGAAAGACCTGCAGCAAGAGGTTAGAGAGGCCTATGCACAGGACCCTATCTATAGTGACGTCCTTAAGAAAGTCAAAGAGGCACCAGAGACTGAGCCGAATTACCGCACTATTGAAGGATTGCTACTTGAAAAGACTAATGTCTTTGACCGGTTGTGCATCCCCAATAGCAAAAAGATCCGTAGTCTGATCTTGGGAGAATGCCACGACACAGAGGGTCATTTTGGTTGGCAAAAGACCTTAGCCAATTTGATGCGCGCGTATACCTGGCCAGGGATGAAGAATGACTGCGTAGAGTATGTTCGCAGTTGTAAGGTCTGCCAGCGTAACAAGTCTTCTACGCGTGCCCCGTTAGGCCAGGGATGAAGAATGACTGCGTAGAGTATGTTCGCAGTTGTAAGGTCTGCCAGCGTAACAAGTCTTCTACGCGTGCCCCGTTAGGTCTTCTCAGACCCTTGCCCATTCCGGATCAGCCGGGAGACTCAATGYCAATAGATTTCATGGACACTCAAGTCAAAAGCAGGCAYGGCAAGAGCCAAGTCATGGTCATAGTTGACCGCTTTAGCAAGTACGCAGTTTTTATTCCTTTGCCTTCTGAGGCGCGTACTGATTTAGTCATACAGAGGTTCTTTGACTGTTGGGTTAGTGAGAATGGAATCSCGCKGTCTAWAGTTAGYGATAGARATAGTCGCTTTACCAGCCAGAACTGGCAAGAACTCATGGGAGTGTACGGATCTAAGTTGTTGATGTCGTCCGGCCGCCATCCAGAGACTAACGGTCAGACAGAGCAAATGAACAAAATCCTACAGCAAGTTCTGCGCATGTACATTAGGCCAGATCAGATTAACTGGGATGAGATGTTACCTGAGGTAGCTAGTGCATATAATAACAGCGTGCATCTGTCCACCTGCCGCACTCCCAACGAACTGCACAAGTCCTTTAGGCCCCGTAGACCATTTGAAGGACTTAGCCGGGATCAGGTTTACAGATTGCCACCCGGGACCAGGGAGTTTGCTGTGCAACACGAGAAAGAACTAGCTACTGTAGTAGAAAACCTCAGAAAGGCCCAACACAGGATGATAGAGCAAGCCAATAAGCATCGTCGCCCCTCGCAGTTTCAAGTAGGCGACTTAGTCTGGGTCAGTTCTAAAGAGTTTACACCTGAGGAGAACATCTCGCAGAAGTTACTACCCACCTATAGAGGACCGTGGCCAGTCCTAGAAGTCAAAGGCGTCGAACATGGACCGTCCTATACCATAGAACTTTCAGCACACCTCCACACGTATCCAGTTTTCCACGCATCCAAGTTGTTACCATGTCAAACGAGCGATCAGTTTCCATCCCGTAGGTCCATGATCCCACCGGATATGGATGGAAGATACGACATTGATGGAATAGTGGCTGAAGATGTATTCAGGACTAGAGGTAGGGGTCGTCCACAGAAACAGTACAAAGTTCATTTTAGTTATCAGGAACCGGAAGACGACCGCTGGTTTACAAGATCTGAACTTCTAGAGACAGTTCCCGACATAGTCCGGGCCTACGAAAGACAACAGAAGGGTAAAGGTCCTGCCTTGAATTGAAATTTTTCTCGGAGGACCTCGAATTTAGGCCGGCGGGAGTGAAATGGTATTCACCAATTCGTGGTAGCTGAGGTAGATCCCAGGGCTCGATCCCTAGTTCCCCAACTTACCTGTGTACAATACCTGCGTCAACTCGAAGAGTTGAACCTGCGACCTGTAGAACCGCCAGTGGTAGGTCGGTCTGTCGTAGGTCTATAGGTAGCCAGGATTCGATCCGTAGACCTATAGACTAGAAGGCTAGCTGCAGTCCTTCTAGAAGGTTGGCAAGTGRTCAAGTGGTGCAGGCCAGTGGTCAAGTGGTGCAGGCAAGTGGTCAAGTGGTGCAGGCAAGTGGTCAAGTGGTGCAGGCAAGTGGTCAAGTKGWGCAGGCAAGTGGTCAAGTGGTGTGACTAAAGCAAGCCCATGTTGGAGAGAGTCTAGAAAGTACCAGTCCGGTCCAGCAAGTACCACGGGGGGAACTGTGTGCACCATGGGCCAGGGRCACAAGGCAGACCAATGCAGCACAGAAGTATAAATCAAGAGGCTGCGTCCATTCAWKSATTMATTCCTGCGGATGCCAGGCGGAAGCGCTGCCTTAGCAGCTTGTGCGAGGCGGTCTGCAGTGCGCCCGAAGACGAAGTGGGCAGAGAAGTGTAGTGTAGYGATAGGGTAGGGGCAGCTAGCGCTGCCATAGCTGTAGCATAGTATGTGTGTGTGTTGTGTATGATACTGAGTGTTGCGTGTGGGACATCCAGGGTGATCCAAAGTGCGAACAGTGAGTTGTGTGGGCGACCAGTCGCCATAGCCAGTTGAAGAGAACTCATATCTGGTAACGATATCTTGAGTACTGTGTGGGCGCATGTCGCCAGTTGCTGTACCGCTGTTTGCAGGCATGACAAAGTGGCAAGAAGACGAGTTTGATTTTACGAGCCTCTTCGTTGATGCAATATTTTGGCCAGCCCTTCAGTTCCCAAACATCACAGTCTCAATTTTGCTTGGCGTCGCAAGCCATTTTCCTCTTGAAGGCAGAACCCCGCTGGAGCATCGGGTTCACGAGCTTGTTGGGCAGGGTAGCTCGGGGCGGTACTGGTGGTTTCAGGACTGTTATGTGAAGCATACAACAATATTGGAGCCGTGGATCTCTGTTATGGATTACGTGATATATGAGAGCATGTTCATACCTGCCCTGCGGGGATGTGAAAAGCCTGTATGAATGTCGAGATCTAGCAAGGGACAAAGGGAAGGTGAAATCTTTACAAATGTGGACTGTAAGCGTGCCCAACCACGCATGCTTTGGCTGGGTGGGCCCTAAAAGTGCCGAAGTTTCCTCTTTTTCCTCCGTTCCCTGTAGAAGGCGAGCTTGGGCTGTAATCTAGTTGCAATGATCTCACATGCAGTTGTCATGAAACAAACTGACTAGAGAATGTTCAACAATTTTCCAAACATGCATGCGTGCCGAGTACCAAGAGAACAACAAACTTGTTTTATTTAATGAATTTACACAGCTGAAAAGTCTGGCCAGCTTCAGATATATGTCTTGCTAGTCTCTCCCTCTCTCCCCCTCTCTCCCACTCTCTCAGTTTGTACACGATCTCCCTCTCTTCCTCTAGTATGTACACGCTCTCTTCCCTCTCATGTATGTACACTCTCCCTCTCTGCCTCAGTTCTCTATGCCTGGATCTATCCCTGAATACACCCACCTCCTTGGTCTCCAGCGGCTATGGCCACCTTCCTCTTCGTCGCCGCCAGCTTGATTTGCGTCGTTCTCCTCGTTACCACAAGGCACAGGTTCGCGATGGTTGCACAAGCTGCACAGTGCTTCCGCAACATGCAACTCTGAATGAATCGCCAAGGCACTGTGCTTTACAGAGTTGCATGGACTGGGGTGGTCTGTCTGGACCGGTACCGGCCGCTTGGGCCTGTGTGTAGTGGACCGCATGTTTCTTGGGTGTCGGTGCCTTCCAAACGGTGCTGCTGCAAGGTTGGACTTTTCCTTTGGTACCAGGCCCAATCAAATGACTTGGCTTCTGGACTCTTCAGCCCCCACAGGTAGACTTCGACCTCTACACCTTTCTTGACTTGGGCCTACGACTGCCCGAAACTATACCCTGCTGACTTCTAACGGGATTGGACCTCTAAATTCGACTGGAAGCTTCTGGACTGGGCCCCTGGGCCAAATCATTTTCTTGTGAGGGTCGCGTGACCCTCAACTCTCCGAATTTGGCCTGGGCCTAAGAACTAGCTCTCGTCTTGTAAACCAGAGATCCTCTTTGGGATCTCGGTAGGCAAATCGAACCCTGTATTGCCTCATAGGTCTCCCTCTGCCGCCCGTCGTAAAGACGTCTTCGGTCACAATTCTATCAACATCGTATCGGCCATCCGTATCAGGCTGAACCATCGATCTACATGAAGCGAAATTCTGAGTAGTCACATCAGGTAATAACTTCGATGCATGGAACACAGGGTAGGTAATAACTTCGATGCATGGAACACAGGGTAAGTATGCAGGTGGGGTGGAATCTCTACAGTCTACGATGGCCCTTCTGCGTCGCCCTTGACGACTAAAATCCGCCATCCTCCTCTATATGCAGGCAGTAGTTTCTTCTCAGGCACAAACTCTTTAGACTTCACCCAAACAAGATCACGTACTGTGAACTGTGTAGGGTGCCGGTGCTTGTTAACTTGTTCGATCATCTGGAATTGTGCCTTTCGGATGTTCTCAGCAACCCGTTGTAAGTCTTTATCATACTGGATTGCAAGTTCGTCCGTGCCGGGAGGTAATCTCTGAATTTGACTAGGCTTTAGACAGTCTATGGGAAGTGGAGGTGAACACCCTCTATGCAACTCATTAGGTGTCCTAGATTTAGCTAAGTGGACAAAGTTATTACAAGCACTGGCTACCTTAGCTAGGTGCTCGTCCCAGTCTACCTGATCAGGGTGGATATACATTCTCAACACCTGCTGTAGAAGCTTGTTCATCTGTTCAGGCTGGCCATTAGTCTCAGGGTGCCTACCGGATGACATAGCTAGTTCCGAGCCATAATCATCAGCTGTCGCCAATGCTCCCCTGTGAACCTTCTGTCTCTGTCACTAACTATAGACAAGGGGTGACCAAAGTCTTTCACCCAGTGGTTAAGGAACTCCTTAACAACCAGATCAGTCTTTGCTTCTGCAGGTAAGGGTACAAACACACCAAATTTACTAGTTCTATTGACTATCACCATGACTTGACTCTTTGCGTTTCTGCTCCTAACTTTAGTATCCATAAAGTCTATGGATACCGGCTCTCCAAGGCGTGAGGGAATAGGCAATGGTCTCAACACTCCAAGGGGCACCTGCGTCGAAGTCTTGTTCCTCTGACACAGTTGGCAACCCTGTATATAGCTAAAGCAGTCATGTTTCATATGAGGCCAAGTATATGATCTGAGCAGGGTCGCGTATGTCTTTCTCCAACCAAAGTGTCCTTCGGTGTCATAACATTCCCCTAGTATCAGACTCTTAATCTCTTCATCATCACGTATGCAAAGCTTATCATGGACATCAGTCCTTTCGAACAACAATCCATCGGCCAATCTCTAGTCAGGTGTCTCACGAGGTGCTGTCTGCACTCTCCTAATCATCTCTCGATATATAGGGTCTTTTTCATAAGCATCTATGATCTTTTGCTGCTCATCAGCTCCAACGTCAAGGTATGTCACTATGGCCCCAAAGACGCCCGCTCGTCTATTTACGGCATCAGCTACTACATTGTAGTTACCTTTGACAGGCTTTAGCTCAAAACCAAACTGATCAATCTCAACGGCCCATCTAGTCAACTTAGGGGTCATACGGGCCTGAGTCTTTAACCATCTCAAGGTCTCATGATCCGAGTAGACCTTGAAATGTGGACCTAACTGATAATGTCTCCAGTGTGACGAGCGCGAGGCTGAGGGAGAGCCGAGGGAGAGGAGAGAGAGAGGGAGAGAGGGAGAGCACACACACACACTCACTCGACACGACTGAGGGTCGGACGCAGACACAGTGGCAAGGGCACAAAGTCGAAGTCTTGGATTCCGAATGCCGAAACAAACAAGTCACACTGAGTACAAGTACAGTAGCTGAAAACTGGTACGAGACTGGTCCCCGTACTGTACGCGGAGCCGGTATAAGTACCGTGACACGTACGGTATCAGGGGCATTTCCGCAAAAGCCCCGAGGGCAGAACTGAAAAATGTGGTATTTGAAAGTGGCGCCCGAATTGCAGCATGGCGCCAGTTGTCCAAAATCTGACGGTACCAAAGGAGGGGTTTGGAAAAAAGGGTGCCAGGCCGAAAATGGGATGCAGCAGAAACAGCAAAAAGATAGACCAGGGATCGAGCTCTGGCGGAGTCCGTAACACTATCCCCTCCCTCTGAAAGGCAACGTCCCGGCTGCCAAAAAGCCAAGGAAACAAAAAGAGTTGTGAAGGACGGGACGGGGCCGATCACAGAGAAGGAGAAGGGGAGTGATGCAAGTCACAGGGTATTCTGTCTGGTGTTTTGCACAGGTGAAGGTACGATGTGACTGGGTGGGTCTGTAGGGGAAGCTAAGCAATTTTCAGGGAACAGGAAATTTCTATTGATGTTCTACTGGGTAGGGGAAACGATGTTCAGGAAAACAGGGAATTTCTATTGATGTTCTAGTGGGTAAGGGAAACAATGGTCAGGGGAACGGGGAATCTCTATTGATGTTCTAGTGGGTAATACCGTAATGGGAACAATGGTCAGGGAAACAGGGATCTGCTAATGATGTTCTACGGGGTTGTCGAAGTCAGGAAAAATAAAATAAAATGAAAATGTTTGTTCAGGAGGCAAGGGCTGGTGTGTCCGAAGGAGTCGGAAGCAGAATCTCATGTAGGAACAAAGTGTCCAAGTGTCTTGAAAGGGGAACTGCAGCGGTCTTGATCAGATTTTGGAGTAGGTGGTAGAAGCGCAGGTAGAAGTCCAAGAAGCGTAACAGTAGTTCAAATGTCCGAAGTCCAAGTGCTAGGGTGCGTCCGGTACAAGAACTGCAATGTGGTCTGATCCGGAAGCAAGGAAGTCGCAGACTGATGCAAAGATCCATGTCACAAGTTGCTGCTCCAGTAAGTCCGCGAGTCGGCATGCTGGCCGATGAAACAGCATAGTGGCCAAACCAGCTGCATAATCTCCATGAACAGTGAGGCAGCAGGCCATCGTCCTCGTGCACTTGCCATTACATCCTTTATCGCCGACGTCACACAGGTTCATAAGCATTGGACGAGAGAGACGAGGTAGTGGAGAGGACAGATGGCACAAGGCTGGGCAAGGGCAAGGGCAGATCAGACATCAGGAATCGGAGTCGAGGGGAGGGTGGACTGGGTTCAAGGGTGTGTGTAGAACGGGGTTGCGACGTTGTAGCAAGGTTTATACAGGGGTTTAGGGTTGTAGTTACGTGGGTGTCTAGGACATAGGAGTAGCATGATCATAGGCCCGACCAAGCTTCATGGCATTCTTGAGACTCGAGAGAGGTTCCCATGTAGATTCTTCGTCGGGGTATCCGGTCCATTTGACTTTGTATTTAGTGATTGGTTCCGGGTGGTCAGATACCTGAGTAGTTCGTCGACCTATGATTGCTTCAACAACGTATTCAGGGCCTGTGGGTAACATGATAGGTGGAGGTCTAGGATATGGGCCGTCAACAAATTGGGGTGGGGATTCATGATATTCTTTCAAGTATTCGGGGGGGAGTTGGAGTTTGTAGTTGACGTCGGAGGTTTTTTCAATGATGGGGAAGGGTCCGAGCCACAATCCATGTTCGGGTTCAAAGCGTTTGGCGGAGAGCCAGACTTTGTCCCCTACTTTGAATTGCAAGTCTTGTTTGTGTTTGTAGGTCTTGTTTGCTTGTTGTTCTTGTGTTCTTCGAGGGCTTCGGTTGCTTCTCTGAGGAGTCGATTCATTGTTGCTACCCATTCATTGAGGGAAGGGCAGGGTGTGGAGGGGTTGAGTTGCGAGGGAAGCATGAAATCGGAAGGCAAGAGCGGATGGTAGCCAAGGTCAAGGTAGAATGGGGACATGCTAGTGGAAGGACAAACAGTGTTGTTTTAGGTGATCTCGGCAGCGGTGAGCAACTGATCCCAGTCGTGTTGATGTGGATGACGGTACTTCCGTAGGATTCTTTGGAGAGTATCGTTCATCTTCTCGGTTTGTCCATCGGTCTGTGGGTGGAATGCAATGCTATACTTGAGTGTAGTTCCGTAGGCGTTGAAAAGTTGTTTCCAGAACTCTGAGAGGAAACGGGGTTCGCAGTCGCTGATGATATTCTCGGGGAGGCCGTGGTGGCGTGCAACATGGTCAAAGAAGAGTAAGGCGATGTGTTTGGCGGTGTGCGAGGTGGTGCGAGGAATGAAGTGGGCGCGTTTGGTCAGGCGGCAAACAATGACGTAGATGCAATCATGCCCGCGGTTGGTCTTAGGGAGACCGCACACGAAGTCCATGGAAATGGACTGCCACCAGTGAGTGGGGATGGACAATGATTGGACCTTGTCGGGCAAGTGTTATTCGGAATGACTAGGCGTAAAGGGCTCGTAGGCGGTGAATTAAGAGTGAAGCGGTGAAAGTTGCCAGCTCAACTGGTGGAATGCCTTAGTTTGGCCTGGTTCGAGGGATTGACAGCCTGACACGTGGGGCATGAACGTATATTTTGACTTTAGCGAGTACAGACGACCAATAGAAGTAGCGGGAGATGGTGTCGAAGGTTTTTTGGAAACCGAGGTGACATGGGGACTTGGCGTCGTGGTGCTCGGCCAAGAGTTGGGTACGGAGACCACGTGTGTCAGGGATGCACAGTCGGCGAGTGCCTTTGGTGTCGATGTAGAGGAGGTTGTCGTGGAGGGAGTAGTTGGGACTGGGTCAAGATCGCGGAGCTTGTTGTAAATGGCAGCGAAGTCTGGGCAAGAGAGGTAGCCTTGGGTGTATCGGGGATGGAGTGATGGGAGGAGCTGGATATGGGTCATGGCGGCGTAGACTTTCTCGGGGGCCTTGTGGTCGGGTCGTCGACAAAGGGCATCAGCAACGCGGTTGCTTTTGTCGGGGGTATGGCAAGTGGTGAATGTGAACTGGGCAAGGAAGTCGAGCCATCGAGCTTGGTGTGGGGTGATGTCTTTCTTGGTGAGGATTGAAGAAACGATGGTGTTGTCAGTGCGGATGGTGAAGTATTGCCCGTCGAGGTACGGGCGCCAGACTGTGACGGCGTGAATCACGGCGAGGAGTTCCTTCTCGTTGGAGGGGTAATTCATCTCCGCGGGAAGGAGCTTCTTGCTTGCGAAGGCGATGGGGTATTCGTCGGGTGGAGCCTCGGGGTGAGTGGGCGAGTCCTTGATGGAGGGGGTCTCGGCGGTGTCGCGGGGGGAATGTTGGGACAGTACGACTCCAATGGCGAAGTCGGAGGCATCAGTGGTGACATAGAAATGGCGAGTGGGGTCGGCGATCTTGAGGACAGGGGCCGTGGTGATGGTTTGCTTGACGAAGTCGAAAGCGTGTTGGCGGCGATCGTTCCAATTGAAGGGCTCGTCCTTGCGTTTGAGTTTATGGGGAGGGTAAGAGATCTCGGAAAAGTTGCGAATGAACGGGCGAAAGCGTGTTGGCAAGGCCGAGGAAGGAACGGAGTTGGAGGGGGGTTTTGGGTGGGGGGTACTCGACAAGGGCTGTGACCTTCGAGGGGTCCATACGGATGCCTTCAATAGAGACTATGTGGCCAAGGTATTCGACGCTCGAAGCGGCAAACGTACATTTGTTGAGCTTGGCGTAGAATTTTTGCTCTCAGAGGATCGAGAGGACTTGGCGAATGTGGTGAAGGTGGGACTCGAAGGTGGGGCTAAAGATGAGGATGTCATCAAGGTACACGACGACACAGACTTCGAGGAGGTCACGAAAGATGTGGTTCATGGTGGACTGGAATGTGGCGGGGGCATTGGTGTGTCCGAAAGGCATTACGAGGAACTCGTGGTGCCCAAACCGAGAGCGGAAGGTGGTCTTGTGGGTGTCCTCCTCGCGGATAAGGATCTGGTGGAAGCCACTATGGAGGTCGCTCTTGGTGAAATATTTGGCTCAACCGAGGCGATCAAGAAGTTCAGATATTCGAGGGAGTGGGTACTTGTTCTTGATCATGATCCGGTTCAAGGCACAGTAGTCTGTGCACATGCGGAGTTTCGAGGTGTCGTTCTTCTTGACGAAGAGACAACTGGTTCCGAAGGGGGAGGAACTAGGCTTAATGAATCCTTTTTCAAGGAGTTCATTGAGTTGGCGCTTCATTTCTTCGGCCTCGGGGACGGAGAGTTGGTACGGAGGGCGGCAAGGAGGAGAATGGTCGGGCTCGAGATCAATGGTGTGGGATACACCTCGATCGGGAGGCAAACCGGCGGGCAAGGACTCGAGGAAGACGTCCTTGAATTCAAAGAGGAGAGTGGTGATTTGAGGATCGGAAGGGGGTCTTGGTTAGGTTTGTCCGTTGGAAGCAAGTCCTCGGGGCGCTCGTGGTCGATAACAAGACAATAGTATGCGGAGTCAGGGTGTTCACGAGATATGTGAAGAAACTGGTGAGGGGAGACAAGGGGTGGGGTAGAAGGGGGGAGAAGGTAAGGGATATGAAGAGGAGAGTCAGGAGGGCGGGTGAGTCGGACGAAGGAGGGGTGGAAGGAATAGGGCATAAAACGGTCAAGCCATGGAGTCCCCAAGACGATGTCATACATGAGGTGCATGACATCGAAGGAGACCTGACTGCGAAGAGGACCGACTTTCAAGAGGGTCTCGGGGACAGTGTGATCGACAACGATGACTGAGTCCTTATCCCCCAGTCGGATGGTGATAGGGGAGTCATAGTCGGTGGAAGAGTGGACGACTTTGCGGACACAGGTTTCGGTGATGAAGTTGGTGGTGGCACCAATATCAAGGAGGGCTCGAAACTTCAGTGTCGATGCGCCAACGGAGACGATGATAAACTTGAGTAGGAACTCTGCGGTTCCGACACAAGCAGAAGAGATCATGGTGTTGAGGCGGCGTTGTTCCAAGCCTAATGTAACAAGTGGATCGTGTTGTGCTTGTTCCTCAACGAGATCGGAGAAGGTGGTAGAGAAGGGGTTAGGGATGAGAGTAGAGGAGTAGGTGTCAGTGGGAAGCTCGACCGTCGGGATAGCAGACGTTGTCGGGCGGAGTAGACTGCGTCACCTGGGGGTCGTCCAATGGGACGTGCGTCACCGGAGGTGGGGTAGGCAGACGGGTAGTCGATGCCAAGTGGGCCACCGGTGGAGGAGAGATCGTCACCGATGGGAGAGCCGACAGACAAGTGGTCGATGCCAGAGGAGGATTGCAAGAGACTGGGGGACAGTGTTCAGGTGGAGGAGGGCCCGAATGTCGCGGTGGAGGAAGAAGTGGGAGTAGAAGGGCCAGGTCCCGCGGAGCGAGGGGCCTGTCGAGTAAAGCGGCCAACGTTGGGATTGTTGGTCTGTTGGTGACCTAACTGGCGGCAGCGAAAACACCCGTTGTGTTCTTGGAGGTATATGCTTTCTGCGGGTGTAAGTTTCTGGAGACGGCGGGTTGGAGAGGAAGAGGGCGGTCGGGAGGCACGATCCTGGTGTTCCATCCACATAAGGTGGGCGGCCTGGAGGTCCTCAATGGTGAATTGGGAGGGGTCGAGAGAGGCAGTGTTGAAGTCGTCATCGGAGGTGGGTGGAGTGGTGTCGTCAGGGTTGATGTTATGGAAGAAGCGGGGCGGGAGGGAGCGAGCGGGGACTGGTGATGGGGGTGGAGTCGTCGATTGTGGTGAAGCATGTCGGGTTCGTGGGCGAGGGCGGTTGCAAGATCTTTGTGGCATACTCGCTTGATGCGGGAGATGAACGCAAAGTCGGGAATGACGGTGGTGGGGAGGTGATGGTGGAGGGAGCGAATATCCGTGGGACCGGTCTAGGGGAGGTGACAAAATTGTTCGAGGTAGTCATCAATGGTTTTCTGGGGGTGGAAGCTGGCAGTGAGAAGGTTGGCCCATTGGAGGAAGGAGTGACGCAGTCCTCCGGAGGCGAGGCGGTTGTTGACTTCGGCCATCGACCGTTTGGTGGCATTGCCGAGGAGGCAGGAGGGCAATGGGAAGCCAGTGGACAAGGGGCATGTGGTGGAGCTTGAAAGAGTCCTAGAGCTGGGTAAGGAAGAGGAAAACGTCCTCGTGGGGAAGGCCGGAGAAGGGCATGATGTCGGCGGATCAAAAGGAACGGGGGATTTCCCCTTCTCGGGAAACGATCCGGGTGAGAGTGCTGAAGTTGAGGTTATCGGGGGTAGTGTCGTAGCAGGTGTAATTGAATTGGCTGTTGTCGTCTAGGAGGTAGTTCGGGGGAAGTTGTGGCATTGCGGGGTAAACCCCAGAGGTGACTTGGGAATAGGTGGGGCGGGGGGTGGAGGTGGTGGAGGTCGTCATGATGGGTTGTGAGAGAGTATGTGAGTGTGGGGGGGGAAGAGGGGTGGCGTGGTTAGGCGAGGAATGACGTGGTGTGCTGGAAGTGCCAGATGAGGGGGGGGGAAGGGTGGAGGAGGCAGGGGTGGTGGATGTGGTGGTAGAGGTAGTAGGAGTGGAGGAGGTCGGCGGGGGGGTGTTGCTAGAGGCGGCTATGGACGTGGGGGTGGTGGTCGCGACCACTTGGATGGATGGGGTAGTGGTTTGGGACTCCAGGGCAGTCAACCGGCTTGAGATGCCAGCGACGGAAGTGGAGAGTGTCCGGAGGGAGTCTTGTACGAATCGAAGGATGGAGAGGAGGGATGGGGCGGGGTGTTCTCCTCGATGGCTTGTTGGCCAACGAGTTCGTGGTGGGTATCCGCCACGGAGTCGTCGCAGAGAGAGCTCATGTTGAGGCTTGAAGCATCCTGGGCCATTGGAGAGGACGAAGGCGAGGTGGCGGAGGAAGATGGAGCAGTGGAGGTTGTAGCAGCGGATGTGATAGCGACAGAGGTGGTGGCGGCAGCGGCAGCGGCAGCGGCAGCGGCGGCGGCRCGTTGGGAGGTCTTGGTTTGGCGTGGTGGCATGTGGAGAAGGGGCGGACAATTCCTATGTACAAGAGTAGAGCGTCAACAAGTGATTTAGTAATGAAGGTAGCATAGAATCGCAGAGCAAGAATTAATTAATTTGAATTTATTCAAAATTAATTCGAGAATGTATTTTTCAATGAAATACAAAAGCGAAAATTTCAGGAATTTTTGAATGAAAAGAAACAAATAATTCCGAGAAAAAAAAGAGAAATTCAGTCGTAAATTAATTCGAATGAAAATATTTTTGAGTTACAAAAATTTCAAAGAATAATTAGTCAAAATTATTTTCGAAGTTCGTAGTTTTCAATTTTTTTTTTGAAACCGAGTTAATTAGAAATATTGTCGAAAAGGAAATGTTGGAAAAAAAAAATAATTAATTCTGAATTCTTTCGAATTACAAAAATTTCGAGAAACAATTGATTACGAAAAAGTGCGTCGTTTCAAAATTTTCGAAAAAGAATTAATTAGAATGATTTTGAAAAGGAAATGTTGAAAAAAAATGTCAAAAAAAAGTTTAATTAATTCCGAAATTTCAAAAAAACAATTCATTAAATTTGTTTTCGAATTTCGAAGAAGAAATGCTGAGAAAGAAATGATTAATCCTATGTATTTTTGAAAATTTTGAAAAAGAAAATACGTTTGAGAAAGAAATGTCGAGGAAGATAGTTGATTGAGTATTTTCGAAATTACAACCAAAAAAAAGATTCAAAATGGGTTCCAAAAATAAATAAAATGAATTATGGGGTAAAACGAGGGCGGAGCGATCCTATGTACTATTGATTGGGTGGTAGCGTGGTAGGTAGGGCACGGGTAGATTGATGATGATGATGGTGATGATGGTAAGGGGGGGGGGAACATGGGGGAAAAGTCGTGGGGGGCGGGAATGTACTCGGGGGGGA